TATTTAATCAATAATCATACCTTTTTGGTGTTGTTGGTTGAAAAAAGTAATTCCTAAAAATTTACTAATTTCTGACAATTTATAGACCAAATATTTAATCAACCATGTTAAAAGAGTTGACCTGTTAGATGAACCCATGTGTGCACTGCATTAGAGCCAATGTGTTATAATTGAAAGATTTATGGTATATTTCTTGGACATTATTTCAGGGGAAAAACCCAGGTCCTCGACACTTGATTGCAGAAAGAGAAGTGAGTGTGTTTGAGGGGTGTTCTTTTGAATTCTGAGTGCCTGGAATTAACATGACAGCAAGATTGCCACCTGAAAAATTATTCCACTCTTATTTCAGAGTGCATGGAAACTGCTCAATCTCAGTGCTGATATGAGCAGAATACTGTAATTACATCTGATTGAATGTGAATGACTGAGCGATGACGTAAATCAGACTAGAAAGGTAGTTTTTCTGAAAAATAAGTTGCCAAATAATGTGGCATTAAGGGGCCAAACAGCATGGGATCTACATCAGTGTGTGGGATCAGGGAAAAATGATTTTCCTTTCAATTTTATTCACACTTTGTCTTCAAAATATTCATCACCCGGCTGATTTATATTCATATTTCACCTTGTTGTAACAGGGGCTATTTTAACATGAGGTTTTCAGGACAGTGGAAGGCATCTGAACTGTCATGTGATCTGTGCAGAAAACATGAAGGAAGCACTGAAATGGGAATTGAAAGTCTGTAATGCCAAACAAGCTCGGTCGGACTTGTTTGTAAAAAGCCTTCTTAACTTTGAGGAAATGGAAAAATGATATTTATTTGGTGCAGTTTGCCTCAGGAGATGAACTAGAGCAAAGGTCGAGCTGTGATGAAATGTGAGCCTTGTGATGGGGGCAACGTGAGGGGTGCAGCTAAAGCCTCTGTACTTGTATGTGCAGCTGTTCACTAACTCTTCACTGAATCAAAGCTCTTTAAGGCCCAGATATGAAGGCCAACAAGCCAAACGCGCTGATTTGACCCATACGCGCACCCGTAGAAAAGGTAAACAAACGCTATTTACCTTGATGTGCGCGCTCTCGCTGGATTTGGATGAGAGTATTTCCAGCACATCTGCGCGTAGATCCACCAGAAACTTCACTCCACCCTCGACCCTGCTTATGTGGTTGAGCAGGTGTCTGTACCGGGGGCTCAAACTGTACCGAAGCCGGTCCTCCACCTGCAAAACGGTCGCCAGGTCCCGCAGCTGAGAGTCCTGCAGCTTCGTGGCCAGCTCCGAAACGCTCCGGTGGTCCACCCCGAAGTCCCGGGACAGCTGGGTGAGGAAACCAGGTCTGTCCTCCTTGTCCAGGCTCTTGTAGAAGTGCATGAAGTCCAGGCTGTGGGACTCAGGCGGCGGTGGGGACTTGTCTCTGGTCTCGTATGTGGGTAACGGTGCCACGACCCTCGCCAGGATCTCCTCCATGCCCGAGACACCGCTGCGATTTGGGGACGAGTACCAGCGAAGGGCCCCCGGAGACACTTTGAGGAGAGCCCGGTGTCGACAGCACCTCACACCGCTGCGAAAGGCCCAGATGACGGGGAAGGATGTCATCGCTGGGAGGGAGCTCCGCTTTCCGCCTGGAACCTGTGACCCGTGAACACACAGGAGGGAACCACTTCCGGGTTACGTCTTAAAGCGATAGCGCAAAATCAGGGGTTGAAATCTTTTTATTATTTAAATGCATGAAGTCAAATAAATAACAGGAATACATCAATTAAACAACTGTATTCGTAGTCATTTGTCAAGGTACAAAACAATTCTATAGAGAAGTTCAAACAGACTACATTACCCATCATCCCATAGTCTTCTCCTGACTGAT